GAATGATGCTCTCAGAACTGCATTAGAAGGACGTGGGTGCTGATTGTCGTAGGTGTGGGTTTACAGGGTGTGCAAGGGAGGAGGAGGGAAGTGGTGTGTGTGTATATACAAGGAGGTGCATGAGTAACTGACAAAGGGAAGCACTCTCCCACACACGGAGAAGGAGAAGGGTTGTTGGACAAGTGGGTATTCCTGTTGAAACCGCACCCCTGCACCTTCTCACCACCTCCTCGCGGACTCCTACCTCTTGTCAGAGGATTCCCAGCGGAAGTTACGAAGACACGTTATACAAACACACAGCTCATCTTCTCCTCTGAGGCCGAGAGGGGTTAACAATTCATGTATAATGTTAGTCATTTCAAAGTTCAAGTTCTTGCTGATACCGTGGCCACTCTCAGACCCAAAGGAGGTGCATCGTTGTCCCGTCCAAGACTTTCAGGATGGTAATAGTGCTGCTATGAACTCTGAACATATTCCTTCATGGGGTGGATTGTGATGAATCGGTTGGTCTGGATAAGCCTCGCTCGTGTTTCAGTTGGAACAGAGAGCGAGAGTTGTTTGCGCTGAATATTGGTGGTTGGAGTGTCAGGCTATTACGTGACCCGCAGAAAAAGCCCTGGTGCATTGCCTTTTTCCAGATTCTCAGAATTATTCATTGCTCATCAACGTGTAGGCTGTTTCGGGATCCTTTCTGCTTTTGTCTGAGTCAGAGTGTGAAATAGAGTCAGTAAAACATGAAGGCAAGCTGGGCCACGATGAACAACAGGGAGAGGCGCGATGAAATGTCCGTAACACCGCAGCAGGACTTACATCAGTTAGCTCTGGCGTCTAACGCGGCGGATGGCTCCTGCATTTGAACAGAGCAGAGACGAATGAAGAAATATGTGAATATAGTTTTGTTAACATTTAGGAACAAATGGAACAAAGCAAATATTTAGCCGATGGTATTGTCTGGATTTACATTTACTTTTGATATGTATGGGTGAATTAACAACTCCAGTCCTCATTGGTTCCCTGTTAGCTCTCCTCTTTAAATAATGTTCTTTTCTGTTAAGTGTGTAAAATACTTAACATCCATTTTGATGCTTTTAGTGTATTTCGCTGTCAGTTTCTGCCTCTCCCACACAGCTCAGTGTGTGATTCATTATCACAGCCACAAGAATGGGTATTCCCCTTGTATGAGATGTAAAAGAGTCTCATTTTGTTTTGACTTCATAACTCTCACATGAACTCAACCTCAGTACTTTGTGTTATTCTCTGTTTGTTTGATTAACAGTCGAATAAAACATCTTTGGTTTGTCCTTCAACTACATGAGTAAATAATACTTTATGGTAACAGTAGATTAATGATGCTTTATTGGCCATGTATGCGTAAGCATGACTCCGGGTTTCACGTTGCTCTCAATGTACATACTGTACATAGAAATTACAAATAAACAAGACAAATATAAAAAAGGACATTAAAGACAGCAAAGTAGAACAGAGGTAAGCAGAAACATTGAAACATTTAACTACTATGTACAATATAAATATAATATATATCCAAAAGTATATATATATCAACATAAAGAACAAATAACAATGGATTTGAGATATTTCATGTGACCCTGGTATATGGTACACTGTTTGTGTTTGTATGTAACTTTTATATCAAACAATAAGAGTTTAAAGAGACATTATGTAACTCATGAACATGCGAATTTAAAATGCAGCGCCTACATGAGAGAATATCTGGAAACACTGATAGTGGGTTCCTTGGTAACTGCATAGATAATGAATCAGTTCCTCGTGTTTTTCAACTTTCAGCTGTTTAAATGACATAACTTCAACAGTTGAAACACTGACACAGACGCTGTGAGGACTTTATTGGGATCTCGTGGTAAAGAATCACTTTTTAATATTCTGCTGCTTTTCAGTCGACTGCTTCAGATTAAACACGTTACTTACAGAGACTATCGGTGACCAGTGGATCTATATATCTGTAATATGCTATGCTTTGCATTTCTATCATGAGCAAACAATACAATTACAATCGTCCAAGCTACCGTTTTCTCTGACATCTGCCTTATGTAATGTAACTTTGAGCTAGCGTGATCCAAAAATACAACGGTTGACGGCTGGTCAGTGCACCTGTGTGCTGTACTGCACAAGTTATACTATTTAGTGTCTGTGAGATATGTTGTGAAACAGATGCATAATATACCTATAGTATGATATACTGGAGAATATTCTCTTTATATTCTCTAGTAATCTTGTTACTTTATAAGAAGTAACAAGAAGCCAACACACTTCTTTTGCATCAAATTTTCACCGATGCTTTATTACTTATTGATTAAATATATTTATTGAACCGTGACTTAATTCATCTTCTTATGCTTTTGCAATTACATCCATCAGGTTTCATTTTTTTTGGAATGTCTTTTGTCACTAGACATGGTATCCATATTAAGATCCTTACTGTATAAAGTGTTAATACAGTTTTTGTTATCTACCATCCATGCAGCAATAACTTAAATGAGAGCCCAAACGAAGTGCTTGTTTTCCAGCACATTGGTGGGGACAACAGACAATGTGTGAGCCTTGTAATCATGTTATAGCACTAATCTATGACATCATCATTCCCAGATTTTGCACGGGTGGGGTTAACAAGAAAATCGTTCACCATGATTGGTTGGAATTAGATTAATTTAATTAAGTCAAACTACGATGAATTCGAAGCACTCAAACAACGCTAGGATCATCGATATCATCGTTTCAGTACTTCTACGTGCTGTTGTTGTATTTTATTGTGGTCCCCGGATGTTTTTGTGAAACTTAACATTTCAACTTTGCACTTGTATTTCTACCTGTAAAAAAATACCGCAAGAATAGAACTACACCCATATTAAAACCCACACTTAAAGCTGAACCTTTCTTAATACAAAAAAAAAAAACACAATTAACACAGCGAGCGGCTGTCAATCATTTAGTGGTCAAAAGTTTTCCGGCTCCGTGTCCCGCCCCCACAGCAGGGTCCCTGAGGGAGGCCGCCCACCATGTGAGAATGTCCTTTAGATTAGTGTGAGCAAGTCCGTCACTCCCCAGTGAACACCAAGAGTCAGCGACCTCACACTGCCCTGCCCTGTCACAACTACTGTGACACCAGCTCTGCTCGGGAGCAGTTAAAACCACCACAACCACACAACTGATTACTTAAAAGACGTGTATATCTGAGTATCAATGCATGTGATTCTATGTGAGTTATGCACATGATTCATTTGTCTTTTAATGTTTGGCTGCATTTATATTTTTGCATTAAGTTGCCGTTGCTTTTACTCTCTGTATTGTGATGAAATTAAAAACGCAGAGGGTGCCATGGAGAGCGAGCGAGAGTCGAACATTAAGATGTGGGGAAATGTTGACTACCTGTTGCTATGGCAATGGGTTTGGATCCTGCAGGCTGCAGGACTCTTGCTATTTCTAAATAAAGCATTTTTTCTCACTGATCAGTGGATGAAGAAGATACTCGCAGTTGAAACTAATCTTCTGAATTCTACCAGGCTGTGTAAACACTGGTGCTCTGCACTCTCGTACTTAAACCTGCTAAACAGCAGTTACAGACTTACAGATAAGATGATGTATAACAGAGGACACGTGCTTTAATGCTGCTGTGTTTCTTTACTGAAAGAGTCAAATATACACGAAGCAGTTGTGTTTAAAAAAAAAAAGTCAATCTGGTGTGGATTTAAGGACATACTATGTACTTATGACAATAGAGTTGGAACAATTTAATTGGCACCATGTGTCATGATCAACTCCAAACCGCATTTGTGATCCGTCTAATCTCCTAAATCTCCACATATGACCAGAAAGCAAAATCTTCCCGTTTCCTTGACAAGAATATATCTTTCCAACAGTGTAATATTTTCATTCCCTATTTAACAAAAGATTGTAATTGCTAAGTGAAAAATGTGTTTGCACTATTCCCAAGATGGTAATCTGCAACATACCATCGTAGGCTCTGAGTTGGTTAAGTCCACATCCCCAAAGAGAACGTGGTTTAAGGTTTCTACATCACTATCAGCTGTATTTTATCTGAGGATCAAAAGAGATGAGAGAAAAAACAAACTATCCTGCTTGTCTTTTGTCCTTGCATGCTGTCTAGTAACACAGTACCTTTGTCACCCTGTGGGGGGAGCCTATGTGTGGACAAAAAGAGGACAGAAATAGGTGCCGAGACCAGATATTTGATGCTTTCGATGGGGACTTCCATGCTTACCTCAAGTGGGTTTTAGGGCCACTTCACAGACAACACATTTAGTCCTTTTCCTCCCACTCGAGGATGCAGCCGTCTTGCAATAAGCAGCCAAGTCTATTAAACAAACATTCATGTGTGCAATTTGCAGTGCGAGGTGCTTAACTGTGTGCTTCCTGGGGATGAGGGAGTTTAACCTGACAAATATACAGTAGAAAATGCTTATGAATAATATCTGCGCTTCACATCGGGTGACACAATATCTGTTTCTAGGCAACAGGAAGTTGATGTACAATTAATAATATGGGGAATTGCTACCTAGAAATCCACTCAGTGGTTTAATTTGCTCTTTTTTATTTTTAGATACTAGCGACAAATTATTGTCTCTTTCCAATCATCACCTAAGTCTCAATGTTTTATGGATCTATGGATCTAATATGACAGTATATGTCTAGTAAACTGTGACAAAATTGGCTCCAAATAAAAACTGCCTTTGGGAATTAAAGGGCCACTCCCGCCTTTCTGAAGTTGGTAGTGGGTGCTAATTCAAGGACTGACCAGTGAGCTAAGGGAGTGTGTAACAGTTGGCTGTGGCAGTACAAAGGGAAAGTGGCATCATGTTGTGTTGTAGGAAGCTGTGTAATGTCTCACTGTATGTTCTTCTTTCTTGTCTAATTTGATTTGATTTTTAGTTCGTATTTGTTTACCGATCATTGACCCGACGTTACTATCCGTCATAAATGTCCCTCTGTGTCTGAATTACCAGGGCAATGCGCTCAAGAACGGACAGATACGTGGGAAGACCCTCACTGGTAAGTATGGTTTTCAATTCATTATATCTTGGTTTACTTTCATGACATAAGCTTGTCTTCGTCATTTGTGTTGTTTAAGATTTATTTTTTTGTTTAGTTAACATTTAGTTTTTATTTCATTGTCACTTTCAGCAATTTAACTGAAAGTTACTGTGAGGAACATTAAACTGGTTATATAACTGTCTCAATTTAATCCTGATGCCTCTTTATGACCTACATAAGTGAGGAAGACTAGCAGCGAGAAGATTTTTTATTTCCATACAGTTATTCTTAATTAATGCCTCATTGGTGCCACCAGGCTTCGAACAAAATCAGATGAAATCAAGCAGGTTCATTAGAAACTCCTTCAGCTCAGGCTCCAGGGGGGCCTGAGAACCAGAGCCATCACAGACCCCACGCTGCTCGAGGCCCAGTCCGTATAGCTGGACCTACTGGAGGGAAGGGAGGCTCTGAAGAACCAGAACCAGGAGTGAGCAGGGCAGACTGACCAAAAAAAAAGGAATAAATCTGGTGTCTGTGGTTGTTACAGGACTGTAATAAACCCGTCCAATCACGTCGTTCTGCCCAAATTAGCATTTGTGAGGGAGTGTAAGGGGTGTAACGGCAACAATAGAGTTGAGAGTCAGATGTGAACCCTGAGAGTGATTTTGGGTGTTTACTGTCCTTCAGTGTCGGTGTTAATTTAAGAGGATTTATCCAAAGGAACACCAGCCCACTTATATCCCACAACCCAGAGTGACTGAAGAACGCTAGGAATTTTTATGGATCTACAGCTACCATTGTTTATTGTAATCTAGAAAAATAATCCAGATTCATAAAGAGGATGAAGAATTTGGATTTCAAAGATTAAGCCCACTGTTAGATTTTAGTTGCATCATTGTGAAAATCGTATATATATTGCTATGTAATATCACTGATCTCAGCTCTCCTCATTCTGATTCTTTGTTTTTCCACGCAGACTACCATCCTCCAACCCCGCCACAGAAATCTGGTTTTCACCGCTACCAGTTCATGTTGTTTGAGCAGCTTCCAGACGCACCAGTGTCACTCACTGAGCAGGAGAAGTCCTCCCGCGGTAATGACTCCGCTCACCAGCACTTTGAGTTCACAGCCATGTTGGCTCCTGCAGCATCATCCATCATACAACACTGATCAACACAACTGCCAACAGTTAGTTGTTGAATCAGCAATAGAAAGATTGCACCAAGGAATTAAAACTCAAGGCCCAAACACTATCTTTTTTTTGTGTTTTAGTAACCTATATAGGCTACTGCAGGGATTTTTTTTTGGAGCTTAAGCAAGTAGATGATTCTATTTCCTGTCATACAGGAGGAAGTTGTGTCATTTTACAACATTAGATTGATGTAGGTGTTGCGTCATTTGTTTGAGTGGGCTTAATCCTTTATTTAGGGTGTAATGTTTCCATATTAGGAGACTGAAGCTGCTAGTATTAGTAATTAGATTTATTATATAATGTCCCGAGACACTCCAGCCAGACACTATCTAACCACCTTTAAGATCAGGTTTTGGTCCGTGGCTGTTTTCTGAGGACACATCATCATACATAATTCAAAAAACAATTATGAGCATTTTATCAACGTATTTGGAGTTACTTTAGAAAGATCATTTTCTCCAAGTGCTTGAACTTAACAAGGGAAATGTTAATGAGGTTAGTGAGTAAGTCTGCTACAGTTCTAACACCTGAGGGATCAAGGAGACAAGTAAGTGTCCCACGCAGACCTGCACGAGTCTGCCTGACCACGTCGGTACACATGAGCTGTGTACATCAACTTACAACCTTGATTACTGTTGATATTATTACCAGATCATTTTCTTAGTTTGTCTTTCAAAAGACTACAGTGTTTGTCTGGCAGAAAGCAGAACTATTGTTTTGTTTATACGTCAGGTTCTCTGAGATTTCCTCCCCCTGAAGAAAAGTCTCTTGGAGGTGGGCAATTGCACTTGGATGTACAGTGCGGTACCCCGCAGGAGGCGTGCTCGTCTGTCTGTTCTACTCGGGTCACAGCCAGTGATTTGAGGGGAGATCAGGGCGGTGTGGCCGTGAATGAGTGGAGCTGCCAGTCTCTGCTGTTTGAAGTTTTGAGAGCTATGTCAGCAAACAATCAAGGCATATTAGGCTGAGGTCTGTTTGATGTTGAAACCTCTGGAAAAAGAAATGTCAAAGTTGTACTTTGGAGTATTTTACATATCCAAACTCCGAATTTGGGAAGGTATTGTTATAATATTCACTGTGTCAGAACTAGTTAGGGTGAAGAAATGGTAGCATGAATAATAGCCGGCTATTTAGAATATTTTAATATATCTTTTTGTGCAAAATAAACTGGAGCATACTCATTTTCTGCATCCAGCTCCAACACAGAAGTTGCCCCCTCATCATGAAGCGATTGAACTGAGTGGATCCACCCATCCTTAATCTACTGGATGAGTTTAACTCCCGCTGTTGCACATCCTCTCTCTTGCAAACTGTTCTATCTATAATGTAATTAAGGAATTCACTCTTGGATAATCAAATGTCTCATTTGATGGGTCAATTCTGGAGAGGATAACTGCCCTTGTAAAAAGGGATATAATGGAACTAGACGCTGAATGACACGTGAAAGCCTAGCCAGGGTTTATGAATAGAAAAATATTCAATTTTACAGTTATTATTGGTTTGCTTGAATTCAATGGTGTACCTGCTGTATTATGGATGGCCTTCACTTGGCCATGAGCGCGGTATTCCCGCACAGACAAGAGGAACGGAGGGAATCCCATGTCTCCCCACCTCCTCCGTTAAGTATGTTCACTTATTAGCGTCTGTCCTCCCTCCATGTGGTATGACACAGAGAGCATTTTTCATAGCCCATGACATTAATTGATGTGATTTGCAAAGGGAGAGCATTTAGACGTGGGTGGGAGACTCCTAATGATCGTTTTCCACTTCCAGTAGCGCAGTCGTTGACTCAATTTCATCGCAAATTTGTCGTCTTTTTTCTTTTCATCTCTGACCATCGCTTAAATAGTAAAAGGGTTAAACAATGGGAGGTGGAGCAGGGCTGTTGTGCCTCCTGTGATAAGGTTATGCATGTGGGTCAGTGAACTTATGGAGACAGCTGGTTTGTTACACAAGGAACTACAGGGGGGCTGTGCTCTTGGCACCAGGCACAGGGGCGTGATCGTGGGGAATCCCCTTCACTCTGGCTCAGGAAGGCTGTCCCTGACTGGAGGCTGCCCCTGTGCCAGGGTGGGGGGCAGGCGTGGGCACACAGGCCCTTGTGATACTTGTCAGCCACTTGGCAAGCCCTCAATATGTCCTGCTACTGTTCAGTGCCACCGAGTCAGTTTGTCAAGGGAAACAGTGTTAGCGTTTCCCGGGCAGGGAAACGGAGGCCTTGAGAGAGGCCATGTTGTTTCAGCCCACACGGTAGTTTGCACATGCACTGTTCACGCATCCCGGGCCCTGCCTCCTGAATGGGACCTCAACTGTATTGATCAGAAACAAAAAAAGGGGGGACGGTCACAAAAAAAACTGCATCAGAATTGTTGGCTAAAAATTGATGAGTTCCCTTCTTTCTTTTCGTAGTAAATTACGAAGCAGAGGATGTACACGACGATCATGTTGTGTGAATGAACAGATCACAGTGGAGTTAGCTGCTGGATGGTGTACGTTGCTCATCTTGCCTCCTAGAGCCCCTACTGCCAGCTCAGCACACTCCACAGTAATTGAAGCCATTTGCAATGTTGCAGTGTGGTAATGGGCAGATCCATGTCTACCACCCACCCACAGCCTCTACCATTAATCAGAGCTGCGTGGAGTCAAGAGAGCCAGGATTTGGTTGCTACAGCAGGCCTGAGTTTCAGCCAGGAGTCGGCTGCCTTAAAGGAACACTTTGACATTTCGGATTTTGGCTAGTTGTGTTTTTTTTTTGTTTTTGTTTTTTTAACAGATGCTTGTTGGTTCGAGGTAAAAGTTTCTTAATTTTTCCTCAACTCCTATCACCTATGAATAGCTTAATATTATTATTCACTGTTGAAATGAATAATCAAAGAGCTGAAACAGCTAATCAATTAGTAGATTAACAGGAAAATATCAGATTAATCTATTGCAAAAGTGCCCAATAATTTGTAGTTACAGGTAGTCACTTGATTTGCTGTTTTTCTTTGTCATAAGTGAAGGTAAACACAATAAAATTTTTGTTTTGGACTGTTGGACGGATAAAACATGGAATTTGATGATCTCGGACTGTAAAAAATTGTGATGGACCAAAATGACCAAATGACTATCAGTAATGAAAATAACCATTAGCAGCAGCAAGAAACAGTTAGTTAATTAATCAATTAGTTGATCAACAGAAAAAAATAAGCAGCAAATATTCCAATATTGTATTAATTGCTTGGGTCGTTTAATAAATTCTTGATTTATTCCCTGCGATTTGTGACAGGTGATGAATACTAACTAAATATAAATCAACATGTGACATATCTCTTTAAATATGCAGTCCCCGGTTGGGTGTAATTGGTAACGATGTCGGCTGCGATATTGACAGCTGGCTGTGAGCTGAGAGCAGCAGCCAAACAGTGTGACACCGTTCCTCGACCCAGGTCCCTCCTCAGCAGTCGTCGGCCCCGCTGAAGCATCTCTGAGCGAAACACGTCTCTACTCCAGATGCACTGCTCTGTGGCTGACCCCTGACCTCCGATGCCCACAAAGAATGTCCATCTCATGACATTAGGGTGGCGTTATTATGAATATGAATGTTCAGTGAAGCTCTTACCCTGATATGGCTCCTCTTACTCTACTGCGATGAACAGGATCACTTGGTTTTGAGTATTTTCGAGACACTATAAGAGGTTTAACAGGGACACCGCCCACACCACTAAATGTAGCAGTTCTGTGTCACCTCACAGCAGTCCTGATCTCCCTGCCATACCCAGACGGAGAAGCAAGGTGGAAACAAAAGGGGAGGCAGGAAGACTTTAACATCGCCCTCAGGTCCGACACTATCTGTCCTTTCCATGAGCAGGCAGATGGGAGAGGCAGAAACGCGTCTCTGCACTACAAACAGACAGACACCAGCCTATTTTAAGGTCACTTGTTAGTCTAGGCATCTGCAGGGTACCAGCCAGTGTGATAGCACCAGATATTGTGAATTTGCCTCACTTTGGATTGCGCCCAATGATTGCACAGCTTTAGACAGGATTATGTGTGGAAAGCCTTACAAGCAGTGCCTGGTTTTGACTCTCCGTCTGATCGTCACTCCACAATAAAGTGATCTTCAGTGTGACATTCTCGGTTGGAGGAAATGTTGCCTAAAACTACTGTACGGTTGGTTCTTACCCTGAAAAGGGAAAAAGAAAGTTTGAATAATAATGCATGACTGTCATGCAAGTCAAATCTGCCACATGATTCGTAGAATATACCTCTATATCCAGTGTAAAGTTTGTTGCCTCACCCCTCAGTTTCCCTTAAAGGTGCTTCCTCAATTGGGTGAGGGACCTTGTTCTGGACATGGAGGGGAGTTTGGGGATCTGCAGAGGCGGTGCATTATCTCCCACTGAGGCACAGGCCAGAGGGGCCACTGGGGCCATGCCCTATAATACAGGCAGGTCACTTGACTCCATTGCCCTCACTTGATTATTGGAGCCCGTTCTGCAGGCAATCCTCGTTCACAGAGGGGACTTGGCAGGATTCAGGTACTCATCTGCTCACCTCCCAGTTATTATTCATCATCTTCCCCAGCTGAGCTCAGAGCCTGACCCGACCTTATGGCAAACCCGGACACATAAGCTACACATGTAGTGAGGATCAGGAAGGGTGCATGAGCCCTAAAATAGTTGAGTAATAATTTGGTAATTGTCATTTTATGTTTAAAACACTCAAATATTTTGATGCACAAATAGAAACTCTCGTGTACGATTTGATAGGAGTTGAATACAGTAATGTGTTCTGAAAATAGCCGAAGAAATGATGGTCTTGAATATGACCTTTTGTCTGAAATGTGAATGAATCCTTCTGAATTGTTTCTACATTGATGCGAGGTGAGTGCATTTGATGCGAGTGGCGGTGGCAAAGTGTATTTCTTCTCCCAGATCTCCTCCGCGATACTGCAGGATACGAAATGTGGCTCTCTAATGGCAAAAACAGCTACAGCGAAGGCCTGTAAAGCAGCCGCGACGAGAGGTGAAAAGCAGTAACGTTTCTATCCAGGCAGAGAGTCAGACTCAACGCATAACTGTGAGACCATTCTCTCTACAGATTTGGACCATTCCAATAGTTGGCTTTCTTTTCAAAAGATTAACTTTCCTATGCTATTCTTGAGCAGCTGTTAATGTAATTACTCCACATACGGAAATACCATAATGTCAGCGATTCCCTGGATTGTGGAGCACAGCATTGTCGTATGTACACTCAAACATGTGAAGACAGACAGACAGACAGACACTCGCTCTCTCTAGAATCTGTTGAAGTTTGCAAGTTTTAAGCACACAGGGTTTTGTTGCCTTGGAATCATAATTGTGAATTTGTCTTTTTTTTTTTTTTGTAAAGGGAGGAGAAGCTGCAGGGAATCAGCGGTTGTCAAAATCTTAGAAGTGATATTGTCATACCAGCCGGATGGCCGTCTGGTGTTTGTTTAAAAGGGGAGGGAAGAAAAAAAACAGTCCAGGCGATTGAATCATATCTTCTTGCCAATACGTCCTTGCGTTCCCACCTCCATCATTACAGCAACATGTTTTATTTTCAGCAGTGCTGTTCTCAGTGACTCACATCCCAGAGCCATGTGCTGCTCAGTTAGGCCTCAGATCCCTTAAACATGGGCCGAGCGGTCATGAGAAACACTCTTGTGGTGCACCAGAGATTGCGATCAGACTGTACTAAATTTATGTATGACAAAAAAAACCCATGTCTAATAAACTTTTGAGGTTTAACTGCTTACTTGTTTTGATTTATCTGCAAAACAATTTTGTATCAGACTGAAAACTAACCTTGGTTTTAAGTATATTTTCCCCCCAAATATCTGTAAATACTAATACATTTCTTTGTGGATGTGTCATGCTGCTCCTACAGGTAGATGGGATCTTCAGGCCTTCATCACAAGGTTTGGTCTGGGAGAGCCTGTGTCCACTCTGCAGTTCCTCACCCAAAACTACAAAGACTGAAGGATGCTCAGATGCCTGAATGAAGAATCTGTCAGTGCAATAACATAAAATAAGATGTTTACCCACTTTCCCTGAATTGAACAGCATCATTTCTTCAAAGCTTGCAACAGGTCAGCCCCGCTTTGCCGCTATCTTATCGTTGAGTTGGAAAGAGATTTCCTCTTTGTGTTACACCAGCTGTTAGGTTTTGATGTTGCCCTGTATCTCTGTCACGTGGTCTGGCGTAAAGGATTTGGGGGATAGATTTTGACCTCACTGGGGATTTCTTATTAGTTTCCAACCACTGTCGGCAAGAAGAGGAAGACGGCCTGATATCACAACTCGTGGAAAGAGTTTATTCTAATTCAGGCACGGAAACACGTCAGGGCCAAAAAAAGGAAGTGGGAGGTGAAACCAAGACCGCAACACAGCCGGATGCTGCAGTGGAACTTGAACCAAAATACTCCGCAGTGACAGGGCAAGGGGGAGGGGCTTGTGGGGCATGTGGTGTGTTGGGCGCAGGGAAGTTGCTGTTTGTGTCATTGTTTATCATATTTCCATTGACCACTCTCTCCCCAATTGGAAACATTGAGGTGCTTTCAAGTCCTTGATTGATTTTTGTTTTTCAAAGTTAAAAGCTGCTCTAACACAGGTTGAAGCGTCCTTGAATGTAACTTTGGGACAATGAACCCGTTTTGAACTTTGTACAGTTGCATAAGAGGCCTACCTGGCCGGTCTGTAGAGGATGGTGTGGATAAACTTTTCAACCCGTTCACAAGGAGATACTTAGATACTTTTCGGACTTCACGAGTCTTTGTAGAGGGTGGGTCAGAGAACCCCCCCATGAGGAATATTGGTTTCTAACCAGCAACCCTCCTCTGGGAGGGGTTTGTATCAATACCCCAGATGTCTGGAAAAGACTGGATTTACATGAGGGACTTTGATGTTCTGATGATCAATCTTTAGTTGGTGGTTTCATTGACCCTAATTTGGTGTCTCATCAGTGGGCTAGGCAGGAGTAGGCAATGGAGGTTTTTGTTCCTTTGGTGGTTAAGCCAGCCTTGGTAAACCCCTATGTGCCCTCCCAATGAACTCTGGGAGATCATTGATCAAATTGTCCTGCATCTGCTTTGTTTGCGTCCCCGACTTAGCAGTCAAAGCAGCCGCATCCACAAGCAGAACAACCAAAACAATGCACATAGGCCCACAGTTAGTCAGACAGTCCATTGCTTTTGAAAAAATGTTAAGTATCTGTCAGCTGGAATATCGCTCTTGACTTTGATTTACTCATCTTATTTGACTTATGAAATCACATTTTGAACAATTGGCAAGTGTAGTATAATTCCACACTCATTGTGAGGCATGCCAAGTGGGAGAGCATTCTTCCAAAAACCACCTACTTGAATCCATCAGTACACCATTGAAATGCCAAGATTTGTACTTCCAAATACACTGTGCATTTTTTTGTTTCTTCTTTATATCTCAGAGATATCCTGCCAAAACAGCTGGGTTTGCCACTCAGCTTCCTTGAATGTGTTTATTTTTACTCCCAAATGTCAGGAGAGTTGAAATATTCTGATTAAGAAAAACTGACAGCTGTAGTTCAACGGTGCACAGTATATTAGCTTCTCTGGAAAAAGCAACTGTTCACATCCCCTGATAATATGGGAAAGGCATTTCATATTTTTTTAATTTATTCAAACTTATATTAATTAAAAGGAATTAGTATAATCAATTCAATTGCCTAACCGGCACTACATGATCTAAAATGCATGGAGTCTCCATTCTTCTTTTCTCGCTGCTGCTGAAGAAGAATATTTATTTCACTGGAGACTTCCTGTCGTTTATCACTTGTTGAGAGCAGTGGCAAAATGTGCTTGAGTGCGACATCTGTCCAATGCATGTCAGCAGTGTGCTCTGCTGACCACTTTGCATATGTGTTTCTATTGGCAGAAATGGAATATCAAATGAATATGTACGTTTTACTGTAGTGTACAATCCCCTGAAAATGAGAATAGTGTTTTTGTTACCTAAGAATGAGCCGTTTCTTTCTACCTACAGAGCGGGTCCTCTTCACGGAGTCCACCGTGTTTCTACAGTAGCTCCGAACGGACAAACCAAACACTTGCTCAAGATAGGGCCAATTGCATTTTTGTGTCAGCCACTTTAGTTTCATTTGGTTGCAATCTGTAACGTCGCTGCTATATGTCACAAACTGAACCTTTAAACGCTTGTCTCCGCCAACATTGACACCAACAAGGAACGCAGCATTTTAAAGTGCAGCTTTTTGCTAAAGTATGTCTGTGTTGGCCTTGTGTCAAAGCAGATACCTTAGCAAAAAGATGCACTTTCTCCTTTTAGCTGTGAAAAAGAAAACTCTGCACATAACCAGACAGATAGCAATGACTGGGTAGAAGCTGAATGATGTTCCATTTAAGCTATTGCAAAATACCGGACTTGATAGGAAACTGAGGAAATGTACCATTAGCGATGATGTGATGATGAAATGCAACAGAAAGCGTCTGCACATTTCATTAGGTGCTCCTCAGAAATGTATGACCATTACACCTTTTTAGTCAAGCATGTTACTTTAACTTTATTTAGATCAGAGATTCTCAACATTATGACTTCAAAATTTGATGCAGGTCACCTGAAATGAAAAAAGCTGTTGAAGATATAAAGACTTTTGGGGATTATTTACTTCATCATCATTGCCAGCTGATTAAACCTTATTGGTAAACCTAATAAATAGAAGATATTTCTCAAGTCGCGCTGTCAATATTACATTAAACTCGATCATAAAAAGATTAAAGGTATTTGCTTTAAACGGTAATGCTAAATATAGTATGTTCAGTTACTGTTGGTATAACTGGGAGCATTGTCTCTTTCCAGATCTCTAACCAATAGCAAGGAACAGCCGTTGTAGTCTTCTCCATGAAGCCTGGAAAAAACAAAACTAATTTGACTATATATCCACAGTGCCAGGGCAGTTTTCCACTGTGCTTTAAAATGATGCGCTGCCTTCCATGGAATCGCCGTATGCAAAGGAGCCTGGACGCTGCAGTCAAAGAGATCTAACACGGCAAGCCGTCGACAAACATTGCAGGCCTGCCCCGTGTGACCCGGCTCACGGTGGAGGAAATAAACCTGCAACAGGTAGGTGTTCCAGCTGGGCTGGCCAACTTTCAAACCGCAGAGCCACACTAACGCTTCCCTGAGGAGACACAATAGTACACACAGTAAATCCCCACACTGACCTTTGGAGATTCTCTCATTTGTTTGCATTCATAAACACGACAGTCGACGCAGCATTTTCCATGGTTCTTCCACTACATTGATCAACCTGTGCAACTTCATGGGCTGGACAAAATAACAGGAACAACAGACAAAATAACTCGATATGATGCAATAACCCTGCTATAAATACGGCCTTTTATACGCTTATAATAATCGTTATGTTTTAAACTGTGTCATTCATGAGGCCATAGGTCATGACATTGTTCTGCATTACATTATACTTTTATTTAGTCCAAACCAAGTATATGTAATACATTGTTTAATTATGCAGTGGTATACAAATATGGACTGAATTCACATGTCGATACATTCACTCTCCAGAGATGTGGTTTTTGTTAAAGTCAATTCAGAAGGTATCTCACTATTTAACATTTTAATATTCCTTCTATAAGAGCTCAAACACAAAACAAATCGATATATTAATTGATGGTGCCTTTGACCTGGACTTATGTTCAAAAAGTGAAGCAGAGAGGTCTGAGTGAGGCAGTATGAGGCAGATGATTAAGTCAACAGAAAATGTATCTTTGGACGGACACAATAGTGTTAAAGTTTGAATTAAGTCCACCAGGATCATTGTTATCTATTTTGTTGATTCAAGGCACAAGACGGTGAACAAGACACCCTGAGAGGAGCCTGTGCTGCCCCCTGGTATGACTGCTACTCAGAAAACACACACGGACATACACATGGATGGAGGACTCGCCTGTGGTAATGAGACGCACAAGATCTGCTCTGTTTGTGTAAGCCCCCTAAACACAGAGCGTGATTCAGACTAATTCTCCCACACACTCTGTTTACACTTCTGGTTCATTGAGGTACTATTAATTTCTCAGGTCTGAATATTCTGGCACTGACGTTTCATTCAATATTTTCTGTGAATTTTTGCAAAGGCCTGTGTGTTTTTATATTGTTCCAGCTTCAGCAGAAAACTAAGTAAATCCTCACTGCACTATTAAAAAGAAGTGTAACTGTAAGTGATGACTGAATGACCCCAAAGGCTTTCAGTCATTCTTAGCTTATTGTGTAACCAACCAAATCACAAAGGGAATGTTTTTAAAATACCATAAAGCAACCACTTTGTTTTTTTTTGTTTTTCACAAGTTGCCATATTGGTGAAAAGCGAGCCATGACGCGTTGTCCACTGACATCTCTTTGAACGTCTGTGGCTTCCGATCACTTTTCCACTTCTACTTCACCCGGAACTCACATGTCCAAATACAGACATGAAGGGGCGGGGCCGGACACTGCCTTTTTTGGAGTTTCCACTTAGGCGGTCACTTGGGCTCCAAGTCAAAGCAAGTCTGTGGATTTACAATGCGCCTGCAATATTTACAAGCGATTAACTCCGTCAATTACCCGTCTTTGTGAGTGTTGCTGCATGAAAAAGCGGTTTGAACCAGTGTTCAGCAATGCAGGACGGCACTAAGCGTTTGCACGTTCACCAGGAGCAAAATGAAAGCAGAGTCGGGCTTCTTCTGTCTTGAGTTTATTTGGACGAAAAGTAATCGAAAAGAAAAATCTAATCAACAATTCAAGAAATAAACATAGTCCAGTATTTCGTCAGTATTGGTAGAATATGAATAAACGGCACTCAGGCCTAACTCATGACATAAAGTAGTGTGTTTTACGAGTGGCAGCCCCTACAGCCACAACACACTCTTTCTCTCTCACTCACACACAGCTGCGTAAAAAGCTCCCAGTGTGCCTGATGGTCCACAATGGACATCATAATGCCTGATAATAATAAAGATAACACGCTGTTGAATCACTGTAATGGTTTCCACGAGGATAGGAACAGTGGAGAATCGGCTCATCATGAAGAAGGACGCAGCTGGAGGTGCCATGTAGTGAACTTTGTATCTATCTATCTATCGGAGCCTTGTGCCTCCACTGTAGTTTCCACCGACTGACGCGCGGAGAGCCTGGGCGCTTGGCGCTCTGTCCATATATGGTCATCTACGTCACGCAAATGTTCCATCCCCCTATTTAATACAAGCAGACTGGAGTCCCCTATCCAGCTCCAATAGAGCGAGTAGAGCTGCTCTTGTGCAACCAACACCACCACCTCCTCCATTGATTCACAGACTTCAAATTCCCCCACAAGCAGCCCATCAGCTTCCACAGTGATCAGATTAATAACAACAGTAGCCTGTGATCACACAGGAGGAGATAACCGGCGCTGCTCGTCCTCCGCGGGATACTTGGATAAGCTACAGCAACAGGATCCATCCCTGCTCCTCTCTCCTCTTTTTTTTTTGTCACTCCTGGTCCACACCTGTGTTTTCCACTTTGAGAACACACGCTGTTTTTTGTGTAACTACTTGGATACCTGCACGTTGTCCTTTTTATAAATGTCGGACTGAATATAACTGCTATGACAGGGAAACTAGCGGAGAAGCTCCCTCTTACGATGAGCAGTTTAATAAACACGATCCCTGACAGTCTCTACCCAGAAGAGGACATCCCGGCATCTATGAATATCTTCACCAGTACGGAATCTATTAACCACTATTCACAGATGAATACAGGTAAGATTTTCATCTACTTTTGTTTTTTGTTGTATGTGTGTTTTGATTAAAGTGGTACAAACTGCGTTGTGCGCGAAAGGCAACAGTTGTCTTGAGGCTCGGAGCACCTGTTTGCGCTCTGGCTGTAGCGCACAAAGGCACACTGTCGTAGCCTACAGAATACTTTTTTTCGGGGTCAGGTGTAGGCTAACACTGGCCACTATGAATTACATACACCTTCAAAATGACTGACTTTCAGGTCGGCCATGTGATTTATTGTATTTGTTTATTTATTCCTTGTCCGTAGCCGACATGTCAGGATTTCAAACGTAACGTGAAAAAGGCAACTGTACTCGTATAAAAAACTTTTTTTAAACCATCGGCTAAGACATTATATATATATATATATATATATATATATATATACAAATCTACCGTATTTTGTAGTGACTTTATATTCCCCAGAGCTGAGGCGTGTTTGAGGAAATGTCTTGTGAACGGCTGAGGGAAGAAATGCTGTTTTACGCGAAGTCCACTTAAAACGCAATCGGCTCCTGATTGAAACTGAAATCTGTAGGTTATGAGAAAATGTGTCCAATTAATGTGGTCAAACTACAAATGCCAGTGATTTAGTAATATAACATAAACCCGCAAAGATGGGTCAACTTCTTTAGACAATGACTGTCATTCACAACTCTATACACATATCACGGATTGGATATTAGTAGGCGTGCGTGGCTGCTTTTCCCTATATGACACATGCTGAGACGAACCATTTTATACTCAGTAAATTGCGAGGCCGGAGATATTGATCGATGTATTGCTTGGTCCAGATTAACGTATATTTCTGATTAATTCAGACGCCTACATAAAGATGACTTGTTGGTTCTGCTCAGTGTTGGCAATAAATCAACCACTAATTGCACAGACTCACCTTCTGAGGTGATGGGTCAATGCTGCACGAAAATATACTACATCTTTACCTGGCGTCCATATGACCGCAATTTACTTTTTCCTTGTCAAACTTTGTTCATTAATCGGGTTTTTATGTTCAAGTTTTTTTTCACAAACTAAAACTATATCTCAGTTTGAATTTTACCCGAAATATGTTCCCCTTATTTACCCAAGAAGTGCGCGTTATTTTATTATCCCAACGCCAGGTCTTATAAATAGTATACTTAATTTAGTAAATACGTGAATTAAATACAAGCAACATATATGTGACAAAAGACATTTCTCTATAAACACAGCAACAAAATGTATTTTATGTGACCTGTGAGACAAGATATTTAAACAAATGAAATGAAGCTGAATAGAAAAAAAGGTGTTCCAGTACAGGTGTGCCTTGCTGTTTTAATTATGTATGATCTTGATGAAATTCAAATTATAAACTCTAAAAATGTTATATTTGTAATTTCTGCATGTATGCTAATTTTGGGCAAATAACAATAATACATTTTAGAGTACCATGCTGTAATTTTACAGGTGGAGCAGGTGTGTCCTTTGCTCTTCAACACTGACCTATACAAAAAGAGTGATGACTTTATGTGATGCCCCTCATTCAGTTTAATGTCCCACTGATCAATTTACCTGCAGGAAACTGTAGATTTAGAGTAAAATGCATTAATATCAACTCAGGCTTGCTTTCTAAATGTCATTCTTTGCCAATAAAAAACGTGCCACAAGTGTCATTGTTCCTATACCTTGTGTGCCACAATGCTATTGTGCAATATACATAATTTAGCTTTTGTTGTTTCATTATGATTTGCCCTTAGCCAAATTCCAGCATGCTGTAATTACTGTAATATTTAAGCACCTCTGGTATGATTTCCTGCAAATGAAAAGAGAGGTCTATTTTAACTTCTGTTTAAGAAAGAATTCTGTTCAAATGTCTCACATTAAGCCCTCGGAGCGCGATCAGCACACAAATGTATCCCCATTAAGCACATCTGCATGTGCTGTTTTTTTATGGCATCTTTTAAATGTGTGTGAGTGTGAAGTGCACGGTTCTGTACAATTAAAATATCAAGGAAATTTGTGAAAATGTTGTTAAGCTCACTAATGCAGAGATTGGATTGGAAACACTTAAGATTTTTACCCCCGTTATGTGCAGATGTTCTATGCTGCAAATGTTTTTTGAATCCTTGAGCGTGATAGATGTGGCGTCTGCCTTATAATCCTCCCTGCTGTAAAGAAATCAGATCTAGCCATTCAGTTTGGCTGTCCTCCTGAGGGACACAATGACTGGATCAAAGGGGGTGTTTAGGTCTTGATTTATGAGAGCTTGTGGGATCTGAGAGAGAGAGAGACACCACTGTCTCACATGCAGCAGTCACTCACTTAACTTGCAGGTCTGACAGCGCTCACATTTCTTCATGAACTGTAGTGGACTTATTTTTGTTTTTTATCTTTTTTTTGGCACACTATTACAAAGATATGCAGAAAAGCTGAATTATCGGACAAACCGAGGAATTGCCACTTCAAGTTCATATAGCTTGACAAAGTGAATTTTCCAGACTTTGTTTTCCACAACTTGTGCCACATTATGACTTTTGCAGGCTTTTCTTCCCAACTGATTGCATTTCATATTTGTGTTTGTGCAACCATGTGGATGATTTGTTCATGATATCTGTTTTTTATTTGCGTTTATCCAGATAATATCATGGATCTGGGCATGGGAAGCGAGAAAACATCCGCTGAGATTCAGTATGGATCCAGCTTCCAGTCCAACCGCAGCGGGCAGACTGTCACTTATCTGGGGAAGTTTGCCTTTGACACTCCTCCGTCAGGTGGCATTGGTGGCTCTGGCTGGTGCTCTGACAACAACATCATCAGTCTTGTCAGCGCAGGGATCCTGGGCGTTTCTCCATCACCCGGCACGGTAACAACGCAGACATCCTCCTCTGCAGCCGGCATGGGACAGACGTCAGATATGGAGCAGGTTTATGGTCCGCCACTGCCTGCCTACTCCACCTGCAGTGACCTGTACCAGGACCAGGTCTCCTTCCACCACAGCCCTGCCACCAGCACGGCTCTAGCCTACCCTGGCAATGACTATCACTCCACATCCAAAGCCTCCATGGATGGCAGCCTTTTCTCCATGATCCCCGACTACAACCTTTTCCACCATCAGGGGGAGGTTGGAGTGATGGAGCACAAGCCCTTCCAGACCATGGACCCCATTAGAGTCAACCCTCCACCCATCACACCCCTGGAGACCATCAGGGCTTTCAAAGACAAACAGCAGATGCACCCAGGTTTCATCGGCGGGCAGCAGCACCCTCCTCAGCACCACCCACCGCCACAGACTCTCACCCTCAAACCCATCCGGCCACGGAAGTACCCCAACCGTCCCAGCAAAACCCCCGTCCACGAACGGCCGCACGCCTGTCCGGCGGAGAACTGTGACAGACGCTTCTCACGCTCAGACGAGCTCACGCGTCACCTTCGCATCCACACAGGTCACAAACCCTTCCAGTGCAGGATATGCATGCGCTCCTTTAGTCGGAGTGACCACCTAACCACACACATCCGCACACACACAGGCGAGAAACCCTTCTCCTGTGAGTTCTGTGGGCGCAAGTTTGCCAGAAGCGACGAGCGAAAGAGACACTCAAAGGTTCACCTGAAACAGAAGGACAAGAAGCCAGCTGACAAGAGCAGCGGGGCGGCTGGGAGCCACAGCTCGCCACCCAGCTCCTGTGGGGGGCCAACAGTGGGAACGTCATGACCGTCACTACGTGCGCTTGGACTGGACCCTCTCCATGCCTCATAAAGAGACTAAGGAAGAAGGGATCACGTCCACTATGAGATAAATAGGTGACTCTTTTCCTCTCTTTTACATCCCCTGCTCTTTTCAGTTGCCTTTAGTTTAAGTAAGAGGGGAAAGGCTGCTACGCCCTTCTCTTTCAAGTAACTCAGAGCCTCAGCTACTGTAACACAGTGCCAGCACAAAGAAGGGCACCTTGGCATATTCTGTCCACAAGGTCATCCTATAGGGTTTTCGGGGTGGATACACTTTTGTAAATTTTACTGAGAATTTCTAAATTGGAAGGAAGCCAGAATCCATCATAGGAGTCAAAAAAAGACACAATTACAATGGAGTTTAGTTAAAGGGTAAGTCGTCTGGGATGTATGCATTAATTTTATTAGGCTGTTTAAAGTGCAATTGGTTATATTTGTGTACTGTCATGGATACCTTATTAGTGGCACTTGGATGTCTTTTTGTTGTTTTTGTTGAGGTGTCGTGTTTTTTTATTTTCTATTTGAATGTTGTTTTCTCAAAAGAATGTGCCAAATGTGTTGTGGTGATACAGCCAACCTTGTTCTTATTATTGTGCCTGACATTTGCCAAACATAGCAGTGATATCAGCTTAGCACACATGTTGAGTTAAAGGAAAGATCAGATTCAAGCAGCGAATCTCAGATTTAGATTCATTTGGTCTAGAAAATGGTTGAAAGGGTTACACAAAGCAAACCGATGTCTTGTCCTGTTACCTGTACTTATAAAACAAACATGCCTGCAGCAATCAATGCCTTTGCCAATACTTATTTATTTAATAGTCACTGAGAGACACTGTGTATTTTTGTTGCCTTTTTATATGGTGGCTTTATGTGATGTTACCAGATATAATTTCTGATTCTTTTTTTTTTAAAAGCTCACCAATAGTGTTCATTTTTCATTTTTCTTGAGTTCTGCAATTATATGCAATATATTCGTGACATATGCCACCAACCCGTAAATAAAATTAACTAAGAGCACAGTTACACATACTGAACTACTTACAGTAAATACATGACACTGGGTTGCAAACCAGCAGTATATGAAAGCAAAGATGAAAGACGGATCCACAGTGTAAAAGGACTAAACTATTTGGTTTAAATTACCAAACAATGAACGGCATATGGTAAGGGGAAAATTTAAATGTCCAAATCCATGTTTACATCTTTTCTAATGCAGAGTGACTGAGACTGAGTTGTAAACTAAGGACTTGTTGTTTTTGTACATTATACAAACATGTATGCAGGTAGCTACAGTAGAAGTTACACTTTTGTACTCAAATGTCAAATGCACCATAATTCAGTATTAAATTGTGCATATATGTGCATGCCTTCATGCACACTATGTAAATACAAATGTCTGCATAAACAAGAACTTTCAATTGACTGGATGCTTGTGCGGAATGTGTCTTAAAGCTTTTAGTAATGTAGTTATAATACAGAATATTTTGTTGTCCTAGGTCATTGCAAACATTTTTGGAGCACTGTAATGGTGCCCAATATGGTGTATTATCTTCCATAAAAGAAAAAAGAATAATAGCATTTGCACCATTTGTACATTTTAAAGTGGTAACTGGTTTAAGGAAGCACTAATGTGTTCTCTGAATAAACAGCAAGATTTCTTACATTTTGTTTATCTCCATTATAGTCGCAATCAGTTACTTCAATTAACACATCTTCCCCGTTGCAGAGAAAACACCGGTTGTCGGATAGACAGGAGACTAAATGATTGGACGCTTTCTTCTACAAAACCCTTACAGAGCAAAGCCAATATGTTTTCACATTCCTTAATGGTCTTTGTCTTGATAGAAGGAAATTACTCTTATTTCATTCAATGAAATATTTTGTGCAAGCTCATCTCCCCCATTAGCTTCTATGGGAACTTAAAAGTGTCACAACAAAGATCACATTTGATTAAACCTATATTCCCTTTTTTTTTCTAAATATATTTGTTTTAACCAATCTCTGTGAAGCAGGAAGGGTTTTTATCACTAAGACTGCACAATGGCCCCGTTTTGAGGTGTAACAACCTTGTTTAAGTGTGAAGATAGTTTCTGATTTTATCACTCAAATACAAGATAAATTTCATCTTCTACTTTGACCGACGGTTTTTCTGGTAATTGGCTGTGCTCTCTGAATATTAAGGATTGTGTGCTGTGTGCGAGGCAGAGAATTTATACAAACACATTGTACATATTGTGTCAGTAGACACGGCAATCAGAGTTAAAGAGAATATCGACTGACAAAAGCAAAGGCCAAAAGAAAGGTTCAGGAAAGCAGTGCCACAGAGAACACAGTGCACACAGAAACAAGCTTCCAAGGCCACGCTTTGCCTTTCCTCTAACAACCAGTTTTCACTGCTGAGCTTCCTGGCAAGTGTCCACTTATTTTCCAATTAATTTGGCCTCAGAGATTCTTTTCTCAACTCGTCCATGTGGTTAAATGAACAGACCTCTTTGCACTGTTTCAGATAGTTTAAAAATCCACACACCCTGTAACATCAAACTGTAAATCAATAGTTTTGTGTCATTAAAAAAAAATGGTTTATTGCATGGATGGTCCATCAACAAATAAAACTTTTCTGAGCTTATCCCACTAAAAGGCATGTGACTACACAACTGAACAAACTGAAAATGTAACTTCTTACACATTACATTACACAGCATTCCTCAAGCCCGATCCCAGATGATTAGCTCGATAATAACCAATATTCAAACATTATATTTCAGTTTCCCAGGTTAAATATTGCTATGAGTAATGGCAAACATCATGTAGCAGACAGCCTCATTGAGTCAGCACAAAAGAATATATATAGTATATGACGTGATAGGAAATACAAAATGTTTATGTAGAATAATTTGATGTTAGACACAATCCATTATAGACTCTGACTTATTTTTAATGTATTTGACCAAAAGTGATGCTCTTGATTTGACACGTTGCTGGTTAGAATGGACGGTTTTAATTATAATATATAGAATGTGGCCTCCTCTGAGAGAAAACTGTGTTTATGTTTGCTTCCTGTTGAGGGACGATGCAGAGTGAGGCGGAGAATACGCCAAACTATTTCCATGTCTAAATGAAGCCATGTAATTAGAACTCAATATTTCATCAGTCATATCCTCTCACTGTGCTGGTCACTTTTGTTTTGTGACACTTTTGTAATGGACAGGTACATTTTGTAAAATGTATATGATCCCCTGCATCCCACTCCTTCAATATAGTTTGGTGGTTGAACAACAATACAGGCTGCACCATGTTCTGCTGAACAATAATCCTTCTGTGTAATGTGTGAATGCTATAGATATATGTCAATGACTTTTTATACAAACTCGGAAACAATCCCCCTCTTATAAATGCTTCTCCAAGAATAATTTATTTACTGTTTTTTTTTTTTTTTAATGTTTTATTGTCCAAAAGTGGGCGGCTGAACGCTCTGAAATTGGAATTTGCCTCATCCTCGTTCTCTGCTCCACATTGGATCTGAGCCAACATCAGCAGCCATCTTTGTGCCAAACTGGGTTGCAGGGTTGGATGATCAAAAACAATATGAGATGAGAACTCCACAGGAGAAACAAATCATAAATGTGACCTCAGTCGGCTTGCAGTTGAAGGCAGCCCTGTGCTGATGTTTGTGTTAAACTGTTTGATTTAGTCTCTGTGACGTTGGCCTTGGGCAGGGCAATAGGCTTGGGCTCTTTTGTGACAATAAATAATTACAAGATTTGTTTTTTTTTTTAAACCCTCATGTTTGAAGAGATTTCAATAATGTGTAGATATTATAGGCTACTCATGTCATCTTATGGACTACAGGGTGGCTTCAGGGATTTTGTGGTCTTCAACGGTGACACTATGGTGTTCAGATGGAGTCGATACTCACTGTTTTCTGTTGTGTTGTGTTTTCTTTTCATTACAGTATATCCTCATGTTTGCATGTGCACGGAAATGCTACCCTCAGATGCTGTGGGTGGTGCTCATTTCTTTATTATGCATGAAAATAAGTCACATTGGGTGAAATGGGATAAACCCAACAACAATTCAAGATAGACAATTGAAAACACACACTGGGATAACTGTTCTGTTTTTTTTTTTTGTTTTTTTTTAAAGAAAACAAGGGGTCTTGTTTAAAATGTTGTGGATGTCTTTAGCCTATTTCATGTTTTTATTACCTTATAATAAGGTAATTTTATGATGAGCTGAATATTGAAATGAATTTTACTATATCCTTGTGATGGGGAGATGTGCTCCCCTGTTTACTTGGCACTTCAGTTTGTTGTAATGCAATTGTTTTGTTATTTCTATGTAAGTACTTGAATAAAGAAAAATATCACTTGCCTTCAGTTTACTTGGATCTGTACGTGCACACGAGCACACGCACGCCGACGCGAATACCCAAAACACACACACACACGAATATTTTAAACACATTTTACAATAGCACGGGAACAATAGACGTCTGTTATTATTATTATATGAACACATCATAACGTTTGTTGTATTTTTATTTCGCTTTCTGACAAAAACCTCCTTAGAGGAAACACAAGCGGCTAATCTCCGGACTTCCTGTTGAAAGACTGTTGACTGGTAGAAGGGGATGAGGTCCTTGGAAGATAATAAAACTACCCAATGAAACCGGAATAGAAGTTCAGTCACAATGAGCTGGTACGTATTACCTACATAATTAATTTGGCGTGTTGTATTGAAAGTATAACCTAAGAGGATATAGTCTATTAATGAACAAGGACAGTTGGTTTGTCAACGGGCTCCGGCTATTTCCTGGTAGCGCTAACGTTATACATCATTATCGTTACAGTTGAACAGGAGTTAGCTTGTTAAACTCACTAAATATAACCTCACCGAGAGACAGTGAGACGGGTCATGGACAGATATCAGTGTCTTGTTAAACAGTTGCTAGCAAAGTGGGAACGTAAGTTGTTGCAAAGAGTTAACGTAACGTTGTTTAGCTAACTTGTAGAGTACGTTAAGGCTCGTTTGTTTGCTGAAACATTAGTTAAGTTAACTTACACAAGTAGAGTAGACTAACACTCCTATCTAGAGGTTTAGTTAGCTGCTTGTTTATTTAGCATTACTTGTAAACTAAATGTAGCTAGCTAGCATCGATTGTTAGGTCAACAGGGTCAACACTGAAGCCATTTAAAGGGATCTGGTCAGTGTTGACAGTCTGCTACAAGCTAACGTTAGCATGTGTGACCTGATGACAAACAGTCAACAGAGTTTTGTTGTTTGTTTTTGTACTCTTGTGTAGACCGAATACAGTCTTAAGTTTCGGCTACTAATCTACAAGTCTGAAGTTATCTACTGGAAGCAGTTTATTGTCTTATGTGATTGTGAGATTAATATATTTTGGTTTTGGGACTGTGTGTGCCAAAGTAATCAATTTTGAGAAAAATGGCAGATTCATCAATAATGAAGTAGAAAGTGATTACAATTTCATTTTTTATAGTATTATATAAACAAATGTATACTTTTAGACAGAATTGCGTCCCTTTTTGAAAATGTGGATGTTTTTAGTCCTTGTAGTGCTTTGTAGTTTTCTATGGAGCCACAGATGACTGTGGGACAACGTTCAATACATGAAGGGAGGTGGTGTGAACAGTTGGGTTTATGACGTAGTCTGAATGGATCTTCTGCACAGATAATAGCTGAATCTGAAAGTCTTGTCATCAGAGCTCTTCCGTCCAGCTGGTGACGTCCACCAGAAAGTAAACAACAGCAAACAAGGCTGTGCTTTCATCATATGTTATGTGCATTTCTGATTCTTGACTCAAATACGTTTAAGTATGAGATAATCTTTTTCAATAATATCTCTATATGATACACCATTTTTAATTGGCCTTACAGGCCCTCATCAGCACTAGTTCCTGACCCAACCCAAGTTCTCTCCGGAGACGAGGATAAAATCTCCCCAAACGAGTACAAGTTCACTCCAGGGTGTCTTAGAGTTTATTTATCACATGCTCCATGTTCTTTGTAGAAATAGCTATAGTCTGAATCTGTAGGGTTACTCTGTTCACGTTTTGTTCACCAGAAAGTATAGGAGGGTCAACCATATACAGTATAAATTGTATAACAGTATATATTTATTTTATTTTGTTTAAATTGATCAGATGTGTTTCTCAACATTGACAAACATTTGGTCAGTTTTTATAAGTCTGACCGTTTTGGTTGTTTGACAAAAACCTGAGACAAAAACAAAGATAACACATTTGACCATCGTCTTTACATTTTAGGCTTTTAGACTATGAAAGCAATGAAGCTGGACTGTTTCTCTTCTACAGTTTCTAGGAAGTTTGCAACCCAATAACATCCATAATGGTTGAATTCTGTCTTGTTCTTTTGAAAACATGTTTTGAATTTCATTGCATTGCTCACTATTCAGCTAAATCTATAATTGATTTTTATGGGAATATAAGTATGGGAAGCTTTGTCGTACAAGTCCTCGGTTGTGTGTTGCCGTTTACGAGTTTAAAAAGAGGTCTGAATAGTTACAGAGCTTGTTCCTCACTATTCATGACGTGCAGTTCAAGATGAAATGCGGAGAACCGAACACGTATTAGGCCACCAACGTAATCTTTCAGTACTGTTATGTGTATGTACACTAACTCCCTTCATAATATGTTACATATTCTTAGTGCCATTTTTAGGGAAGACGGTAATCAAGGAAGCAGAATGTCGTCACACATTTCAGTCGGACAGTTAATCGCTGGCGAGCGACGCTTCCACCAGCACGCACCGCCAAACACAAGGTCAAGAGCGGGGTGTTGGACCAGTGAAAAGATTCCTTTATGGGCTCTGCTGACTGAGGCATTCCAGTAGGGCCTGCAAACTTGCCACTATGACGTGAGAGGTTTGACTTTGGGGTCATCGTCGGAACAATTCCACTTCCCAACATCTTCAACTAGCCCTCTGTGCTCCGTGGAATACCCAAGCTTGAATGATGCATTGCCCCTCTAATGGCGTACACACTTGCAGTTCTAGTGAAAAGCCATTGGTTCTTCCAGTCGATGCATAATGCGTCCCGGATAGAGAAGACTGTCGCGTCTTTGTTCTTGCCTACGTGCTTGCTTGATGGCAGTGATGTGTAGCCTATTACAGCAAAGATCAGATGGCTCCATCAATGCAAGTTGACCATCTCACTGATGATGACGGCAAGTGTGTAACAGAGCACTTTTTTTTTTTTACTGCGTCTTGGCCTGAAAATGGACAATGACCAAATATGACCAATGCTCCACAATCCTAGTTCCTAAAACTATCCCATTTATGTGTCCCTTAAGTTAAGTTATTATGAGTTTTATCGATTATGTACTGTATATGTAGAAATACTAATTAATACTTTAGAATTTTTTTTATATTTTTTTAAATGAAATTGTAAGTATTTAACACTAAATATCAAAGCAATATTCAGCGCCTGCCGTCACTAGGCTTAGCTTTCTTTCAGAATAGTTTGGACTTCAGCTGGTGTAACACATACGTTTTCTGTCTTCAGCTGTCTTGCGGTCAGGCCTCTGCCATGTCAGACGCTAAAGTTCTGGGTTCACAGGACCGAACTTACCAGCGTTTCTAGATGTGACAGGCCCTACAGAACGATTGCTGTGTGAAGAAACATTAGAAATTATTCTCACAGTGACTGCCATCCTCCCTCATTTTCTCCCTCTGGTCGCCCGCTACATGTTCCCTCTCCCTCCCGAAGCACACTTCACTCTGTGTGTTTGCCAGTTCTCATGAGCAGTTGAAGAGAGTGACCACTTTCCTTTGGCTCTTTGTAGAAGTGGATACACTCTGAATCTGTAACATTAAGGACTCTCCAGTTTTTCTTTCACCCCAAATATAGCTAATCTATCCTTTTTGGTACGTTAAAGGGAAAATCCATCCTCATACAGTTACACTTGGACTCTTGATGTCATCGAGAAATTAATCCCGTCATGGTCCGTGCTGCCAAAACATGGCAAAAGAGAACATTGAAAGCTAACATTTAAATTTGTTTCATTGAGCATTGATGGCTGTTTTAAACACTGTAATGTTTATAGTTAACTCTTCCATTGGGATTTTTTTTTTTTGTTGCTGTTGATGTCATGATTTTGTCCCAGACACACCCACCAAATGCAAGCAAACATCGGAAGCTGTTGCCAAACGTTGTGCAACGTCTGTAGAAAACCGACTGTGCAACCTAAAAAAAAATAAACGAATGCAAAATTGCGAAATCTCTTTGAATACAAGCACATTGGCTGTGTCCTCTTCTTACGTATGAGTCGTGTGATGTTCCCTGAAGTTTCAGTTATAAATAGTTTGTTTTCAAAACGGACACGCACTGCCAGTGCACGTATTGGTTAATTAAGCTCTTATTTATTCAGGAAGTGTCATTGAGGTCAACTTCTCTTTTACAAAATAGACCTGAGACAAATTATACATACAATGTCATAATAAGACAATTCAGTCACACAAAGCAATCATCACACACAGATGCACTAATTAATACAATCACAAATATTATTAGTAAGATGCCTTTCATTTCCCTCAGAGGAATACGTGTTTGGCAGTTTGTTACAGTAGCGAGATGCATACAGTACCGATTAGTATAAAACCTATTGACTTATATGTGAGTCACTTGTGTAACTGTGTGCAGTTGTAGTTTGTGGTATCACACACCATGAGGGACCAACAAAGGCATGCTGCTTTAGCAACAGTTGTGACCAAAAGTAGGTGCTTACAACACTGGATATAAGGTTCATGGAATATGTACATATCACAATAAACTAGTGTTTGGTACGTGTCTGACCAGGCTGAATTTATTCTAAAGTGCTGTTTGTTTTTTCAGAGTCAATTTAAAAATGGATCTCGCAAGAGAGCAGTAGTCTGTGTGAGGCTGGTTCTCCTCACTGTAGTTGTGACAGAGCACTGATCTCCACATTACATGTAGTTAGTTAAATTCATTATGCTGCTGTTAGTATTTTGGAAAATCAAACAGTTTCAAAGACGCTTACTTGCGTATGTTCTTAATGTGACGTTAATAGTGTAGTGATCAGGTAATCGAAAGGTGAGTCACCTAAAGATGGTGGTGAGTAATTGATGTGGTTATTTTCCGTGTCGGCTCACCCGAATGATGACACAGTGGGTGAAACTTCTCTCCCGAGCCAAAAGCAACAAAATGTTTTCAGGCATTAGTAATCGGTAAAGATTGGAATAGATGCAGGATTTGTTGAAACCCCGATAAGGTCAGGACAGTTACAAACTGAACCACAGCAGCAGCACGGAGCTAGTTAATCAAAAGACATCTTGATACCTCTGCCACTCGTGAAACCTGTTCTTCTTTACTCGATTAATCCTTGTGTTATTTGACCATGTTGAGTTTTGTGATTGAGCTGTCATCAAAGGGATCTTCCCCACACATCAGTAGCATTCCCTGGTTGCACAACGAGGCCCGACATCACACCCTCTCTTTTCCATCTCATTAGTCTACACACCTTTCTTTTGACGCAGCTGCTGCCTCACCCTGCCTGTCAGCGGCAACTGTCCATCATATAGCTTAGATTTCAGGCTATTAGTGCCACATCAAGGACAACCTACAGCCCAGCACATTGGCAAGGCACTTTTTTCAGCAGTCTGATGCTCGGCAAAAACTTATTATGGCAACGGCAAGGGTTTGAAATGTGGATAAAAGATTGTGTTTTAACTAAGGAGGAACAGGTTTCTTTGTCTGTTACCAAAACTATTGTCAGGATGTCGGTGTGTTTTGTCTTTCAAAAGTGAAGAAAAGTTTGTGTTTCACTCTCAAAATCAGGTGCAACTGCTGCAGTTACACCAAACCCCCGAGACATGGATTCATTTTTAGCGATGGTCTCAAAAGCCACTGTCCTGGCTGTACTCTGTGAGTCCCAATACATCGGGCTTCCTCGGCGTGTGCATCTGGGTTTGATTGCCAGCCGGGGTCATGCAGTAAAGAGGGACAAACCACTTCTGTTTACTGATATCCGCCTGCAATGGGAGCCAGATGTGTTCAGTGATGACATGTGGGTAATATACATGGCTTTTGAGAAGCAGGAGTTAACAGCTTTAGATTGGTGGTGTCGGGGATCTGATGGATGCACCCGTTCACCTTCTGACCCGTGCCAGCCTCCTGTCAGCCGTCATGCAATGGATGACAATCTTAAGCATTCAGTAATTCCACCTTTTTTAGAGAGTTGTTTTCCAGTTGCTTATGTCTGTCACCTGTCATTTGCTTTTGTGTTATTTCAGGATTCCCTTCAAGATTGGGCAACCAAAGAAGCAGATTGTCTCTAAAACCGTAAGTCAGAACAAAAGTTGACTCAATTCACTCAATCAAAAATGTTTAGTGCATGCAATTCAACCAAGTCTATTTAGATTAATAAATATAAACTTCCTTTTCAGGCAATATTTCTAAAAAAACAACAACAAACAAGCCATGTTTTTGTGACGGTTTGGCTGTAGTTGTTTCACAAATGGTGTATACAACATGAATAGTAGTTTATAGAATGTCATCAGAGCGCCGCACCCGAAACAGTGATTACTGACCCATGCAAAGGGGGCAGAGGTGGTTACCTTGAAGTGACAGTCAGTGGGTGATCTCTGGACATAACCACTTCCACTGTAATGGGCCTGTGGCCCGGCAGTCCCTGTCGGACTGGGTTTCCAGCTTCCTGTTCCATCCCAGGCAAACACCCAGGGAGTTGGTTAGAGGCGGCCCAGTCAGACGACCCGCTGGTGACAAAGTGACAGCTGCCCTCCTCGTTGTTTGAGCCACTGTGTTTACATCCATGAGCCCACAGAACCACCAGACAGGAAGCTGCCTCTGTAACCTGCTCGGCATGTTTTAGAGACATGGTTGGACAAACTGTCTCGGCCCTTAACCCTGGGAACTGCACTCAGTATGTTTCCTCCACTTCAACCCCCTGGAACCCCCTTCTTGTACATGGCCTAGGAACTATTGAGCCATGGTTGAGTGCTAACGCAAGCCTTGAGACTCCAACAACTCATGTACATTATCTAGACTAAGAACAAGCACTGGTTACTGCAAGTATGTGTTACATCTCAAACCGTGTTGTCACTTCTTAATTGGTTATCAGTCTAATTTACCTAAACTTCTTTATTCTTGTATGATGTACATATACAAGTACCGTGTGCTCATGCCATGGGATAATCCGATTGACACACATTTTAAATCATTGACTCTTTACTTGAATTGTGTTCTTCTTTAGGTTGAAAGAGACTTCGAGCGAGAATATGACAAGCTCCAAAAGTAAGTTTGCATTTTGAACTGAAGTCTATATTAAGGTAGATGATTCAAAGATGTGTGATTATAGGATTATAATGAACTCAAACCCTACTTTGTGTGTTGTGTGCTAGAGGTCCAGTGCGTGCCCGTGGGTAAAATCATCATCTTTTAGTGCTTTCAGTTTGCTGAAAGGTCGTTTCTCCTGCACTATATCTGTGAACACGTTTAGTTTTTCTGTAAAAAAAAAGTAATAACTTAACATGTGAAAATGTGTTATTATTCATCATAAAGTATGTGTTCATTATCGTTCATTCCCTAGTCAGAGAAATATGAAGTAAGAAATATGTACCAGACACACTGTAAAACAAATCTTTTCAGAAAGGCTTGCACGCTGTATCCAGAATTAGATAGTTTTTGCTTATTATACAATTATTTTTATAATTTGACATGTAAGTATTTTGGCTTTACATGTTTACAAAGCACTATGAGAAACTCACACTTAACATGCTCCTCATGGTACACACAGTTTCTTTGTCACACAGTTTGCCAATCCCTGCTGCGTTTGGGCACTTCTTTTTTTTTTTCTCAACATTGAACTGTGAAGGGACCCACATTTGAGCTACAATGGTGTCTGAAAGATTCGATGTTTCCCTCAACCACTGATGCATTTAGATTAAAGCTAGAGTTAAGGTTATAATCTCATGAAATTACCTGTAAATGCACCATTAGTGTTCAGAAATAGCCAAGTGTTTGATTCATTTATTGATGTAGATGTTCTAAAGACATTTGACAAGTGACTAAAAAGCCTAAACTAAAAGTGTAACCTCTAAATATATTACTCGATCAGCCTAATTTGAATTGAGTGAAGTGATGTCAGTGTTTCTATGAAATACTGGAGAGAGGGGTTCTGAGAACTTAAGCACCCAAGACCTGAGAGCTCAGCACATCGGGGCCTTCTCTTACATAGAAACTCCCCGAGGGCCCTGCAGAATGAGTGGGAGCACCTCTCAGGTTTTGTCGAGTAGGAGGGCCCATTATCAGGAAGGTGTGGTGCCAATAGACCTTATAGATGAGTCAGAGCAGCAGGCCTGTACAGACTTTATGGTTCTCCACCCTAGAGATCCATATCAACACACTGCGGTGCATCTGTGGCCTAAATATACTTGGTAGACTAAACCACGGTTCCTGCTTTTGAATTCCTTCTGGCTGACAAAAGATTTTGGTGTAATTTGACTTTGGATCTTGTTGGATTAATGATATTGAATCTAAAATAAGTCTACTTGTGCACAGCAGCGTGCTTCTCTAAGCTTGACTTTAGCCTCACCGCTACAGGGTTTCTGAGGCCAATTCTGATATTAATATCTGAGAGTTATAGAAGTCTGATAACAATATGTTAGGTATTTTTAGTTTTTTTACTCAAAGGTACATTATACATAAACACATTTGATGGGAAAACCCTTCAATTTCTTATAAATAATTTGAACCCAATGTTAAGTGAGCCAGACACATACACTGATATAATATATCTGCAATTAGCGAATATCCTCTGATCTATCGGATATTGAATTGGCTCAACTGCATCGCCTGACCTGGGGTCTCACTTTATACCGCTGCGTATGCACAAACGTGGGGGCCTGTAAAAGGCGTACGCCACTTCCCACCTAAAAGTTGTGATCTATAACAACAAACTAGACGGGAGAATGTACGCACCTGCACGGAAACGCAAGCATGCGCACATTATGAAATTAGTGGTGGTGAGAGAGAGAGAGAGAGATTAAATATGACATTTAATTTCACTTCATATCAAACATTACTTATACATCCACTTTATCATAAATAATCAAACCAGCAACGTTATTTGTGCTTTTTGCTAGAGAGACGTAACTATCTCATCGGCACCTTTCATTTGTAAAAGATATCAACAAACTCAAATCAAATCCCTCTCAATATTTCATCAGCGCTGTCTGCAACCGGAGCACATTTGCGTACAGGTGCGCACATTCTCCCGTCTAGTTGTGTCTAAATGATTGTGGCCGCACAGGGCCCAGCGGTGGGGTACCGGAGCGAGGAGCAGCAGCTGTTCCACTCGGCCGCTCTATTAGCACCTTTTTGGAAAGAGACTCCGGGCTCACCTGGCACTCGTCCAGGATGGCTCTCCTACTGTCAGCGCTGACAGAGGAGGGGAGACATTTTAAAGTAGGAGGTACTAACTGGAACAAGAGTTTCACAAACGAGCACGACAAGAACACACGTGAGTGTGCAGGCATTGGACTCTGTGCATGCTAGTTTTGTTTACATAGCGAGATGCTTTTCACCCACCATCCTGCAACCCCATCTCCGTGATTGGCAGGGTCACACTGTTATTTTCCTCTTTCCATATTTTCCTCCTTTCATTACTCTCAAGTGTTAACTGTGTCAGCCAATTTACAAGACTATTTATTTTAGTTTTAGTTTGTTTCGCACGATGCCCTCAATTGACTCCACTGGCATTCATAGTTGCATTCAACATTTCTCAAACAATTCTACTTGCTGGCATCGCAAAGACGGAAATTGTTGAACGCTGACCGTATGTCAGCATTTCCAGATGTTAAAGGTGCATTTACATGGACATGAAGAGTGTAATAATGTAACAATAATGATCATTGTTGGCTCTCTTGTTGCCAGTTTGTTTTTGTAAACATCACAGCATCAGTTAGCGCAAACAGCATGCAGAAATGAGTAATCAGATTACTAGTAGCCTATTTAACATGGATGTACAGGTAAACACATAATATAATAGCTGCATTGAAATATTGCCTCTTAAGTGACATTTTAAATTCCCTTTAGATGTTTGATTGTCTGATCAGCACATTCATTGTCCAGGCCGACGTGGACTCATTTGAGTATTTGAGCATTTGCTGCATTTAAAAGTGTATATTTCTTAATATCTGTAATGTATTAATATATTGTGATTGCTTCAGAGGAGGGCTGATATGGCTCATGAGACCCAGTTACATCTAATTGGCGAGAGAAATACAAGAAGTTACTGTGGAGATTGTTCTGACAGAGTGCTTTTTTCTCCATGTTGTGTGAACAATAAGCGATGGAGTTACATCATTTACTGCAAATGACGTTTTTGGAACAACCTCCATCTGGTCTGTGGCGATTCAGTGCAGAATCCTGAAACGCGTCAAGACAGACAAAAGCATGCAGAGGACAAGTCATGATGGGGAACGATCACTGATTCTTAGTTACCCTTAGACCCGACACCCTCGCAGTTTACTGGCCCTTTGTTAGTACAAACACATGAATAAATTACATTGCAGTTACAGATGAGTCTGAAAATCAAAGCTATTACAAATGCAATCTGACACGGCTAATACCATTAAATGTTTCTACTGCTGTTGTTGACAGTTGCCGAGAACCCCGCATGCTATTTGGTGACTAAAATATATTTAACTAAGAAGTTACATGGCTTCAAATCTCTTTGGAACATGTTGCACAAGCTGTTTGGTTTAATTTGATAATAACACAGTATGTTGCTCTATTTGGAGTTGAATGTTTCCTTACCTGTCCTGTCACTTGTTATGAAATGGAGCCGTGTCGTTGTGTGTTCTATGAACATATTAAAAGCTTCATTGATAAATTAATAATACTTTATGGTGCAGTATTCCTTTAAAGCCCTAACAGTCAGTGTTGAGGCAGCAGAGAACCTTCATGCACATGTGTTAACACTGCAATAACCCAATATTTGTTTATTTCCCAGCTGTTGAACAATTTAAAAAACCAGTCCAATCCCTGTATTTGGAGACAGCAGACTGCCAGCTGTGGGTTACCAGTGTCCTAAATCTTATGGCCAGTGGCCATAGTGCCCCCACCAGAAATCCTTTGGGATTACACAGCTATTGTCCTCCCTGTTAGTATAATACCTCAAAGCAAAGACGGAAATGAAACCAACACATTCCCTTTTTCATCAAACAGGAGAAGTGATATGACAGCGGTCTCGGGGGAGATTCTAAACCCCTCGTTTGCCTTAATTGATGTAATGAATGGCGTGTGTTTTCAGCCTCCATAGTCTGGTAATTGCCATTTTTAACACCCATCAATGGAATATGAGCGGTGGAATGATTGAAGACATTAATGCTTTTCAGAGGAAACGTAGTTGACAGTAACAAGAAGGATTCCCTGAATTATTAATTAGCGTACGGATGTTATAATAGCATTTTATGTGGAATCAATGAAATGTGTAATTCCTTCTTGAACCATGTTTTATTTTTTAATATACTTTATAATTTCCTTTTCTAGGATTTTGGTTTGGATGTTTTCTTGTCAACACGTCTTGAATGGATGGAATCTATGTTGAAAAACATATAGATTTGATTATGATTCCTGATATGAAATGTGGAGACAGTGTACCATGTTTGTCATGTTTGGTATTGTTTCCTCTTCTCTGTCTAATGCTATTGTTTGTCCATATTTCCCATTGTTGTCAGTGTTGCTTTACTGTGTTATCTGACCAGAAGCTGGCTGATCATCGTTCTCCTTCTTGTCTCTCAGGCTGGAGGATCAGACGAAAAAGCTTCACAAGGACATGAAGAAAAGCACTGAGGCTGATTTAGGTGTGTTCTACTACTAACGTGTGTGTGTGTGTGTGTGTGTTACCGCCTGGTGTGCCATTGATCTCCACTTGTTCACCAACACACTTGATGTTGCTTGGCAGGTTTTTCAGGGCTAGAAAGACTCTTTGGTTGTCTTGGTTTTTTTGTTTTTGGTTGTGCAGCAGTTCTCTGAAGGACTCGACAAATGAGACGACACGGTGCGGGGCTGCGCCTTAATCTTTTATAGGTTTTAGGTGATCATAGTGTGTGTTTGGGATTTATATGAGTGTAGGGCTCGGTTCGTCTACCATCTCTGCCCTCATTTATTCAAGCAATTGTCGGCCACAGAAACCATGTTTACTCGACTCTTTTATTTGCTTATTTGTTGGTTATGGAGTTGTGTACTTTCGGAAGCGGCAATAGACATGGCCTGTGGTAAGTAGTCAGTTGTGGGGGTGGAGGATCGGGGACGGATGGAGGAGTGAGAGACTTCTTCATTTCCTCTCCTTTGTGCTCTGGAATATGGATGTCGGCATCATCAAAGTGTCGTAGCTGTCAGGCCCTCATTACCGTTAATGGATTCCATCTGTTGCACAGGTCCCGTCTTCAACAACTGCTACCGAACAAAGAGCTGGACCTACTCTGCATGTCAGCGCTACATTTAATATACACTGCTTTCTATATCAACCGGTATTCGTCAAGTCAAGGGTGGTGATTTGCAGAACTCTATTGAACTCGCTTCCAATTAGCCGGCGATGGAGAATAATATCTTTTTTAAGGCTTGCTCCGGTTCACAATTAGACTTAAATAACAGCAGGCACAGAAAGTGGCAGGGATGACTGTGCTCTGCATACTGAGGAAGTGTTCATGAGGTTTCAGTCCCAGGTGACTTGAGCTTTACTTATTTGCACCTCACTAACACAAATAATTAAATCACTACCCTCGGGTCACCTGTCATATAAGACGAGGCCAAATCAAGCAATTTGTTACCTGTCAAATGGTAGAAAGATGCGGATGCGGCACACAACGATAATTGATTGGTTGTAAATTGGTCTTGAGAGAATCCTGAGGGAGTGAGAAAAGAGACCAATGACTGTTCCAGATCTCCACGAAGCCCATTTTCACCACAGCCTTTTCCCTGTCAGCTTGCATCTCCTCAGTGAAGCTCATTTATTCTGACTGTGAAGCCATAATCTGATCTGCGTTCTGTGTCTAAACAACGTGGCATGTGTGTAGATTAACAGTAATCGCTGCTGTCAGTATAGAGACATTGCAAAGAGCACTGTGCCACTTTGCTGCTTAGTTCCTTCCCATAAGCTCACTTTTAAAGACCCTGCCACAAACAAACACATACACGGATGAAACAGTCAGGGTAATCCACAAAAAATGTTTAAGAAAAATGCAAAAGATCTGGTGTTGAATTGGATTAGAATGTGTAGATTAGGACATCTTCAGTAACCATTGGTGTGTGTGTGTGTGTGTGTGTCAGCCATGTCCAAAGCAGCAGTGAAGATCTCCTCAGACCTGCTGAGTAACCCGCTGTGTGAGCAGGACCAGGCCTTCCTGGAGTCCATGACCTCTTTAGATACGGCCATGAGAAGGATGGACTCCTTCAACCAGGAGAAGGTCAGACCCGTTCCCACACACGTCTCTCACTCTTTTCATTTTTATTGTGTTTTCTCACTCTTTTTTATTTTGTTCTGTCTTTCTCTGCTTTGTTTCCTTGGCACTTGCCATTGGCACGGATACCATTAAAATAGCATCGGGGGAAATGTCTTTCCTCAGACATACAAAGTAGGAAACTAGACGGGGTTTTTGTTGAAAATGCATGTTTTCATATTTGTCAATATTGTGCAGCCTGTGGACTAAAAACTATCCGTATGCCTTTCCTTCTGCTGTTTTTTGAAAAGCATCTGTGGCATCATCCTCTATAAGCTCCAGCTACTGGTTATCAGCTGTGAAGATTGATGCACTTGTGACTCACTGGTGTCTAAAATAACTCGTACAATGGAAAGGCAGGAAAATACTGTATGTCCTACCACAAAATCTATAGAAGTAGAGGAGTACCTCTATGCATGGCGTGCATTGTGAACAAGTATTACTTATTGAAACAAACCTTTGGCTTCAGTTCAACACTTTCCATACAACATACTATAACTTGCAAGGTTACAGCAAAAAGGTTTTTTTTCCTTCTTTATGGAGAAGAGCAACTGTTATCAGCTTGAATTTATAAAGCTTACAACACTTTTTATATAAACCTTTCAAATCACGTTTCTGTTGGTAGAACTAGATGAGACTGCCAGTGTGGCCAGAATATAATAAGAATAACTTCCTTCACTTGTGTTTTCCCTCTTATTGTACTTTATTTGTGTTCTGGTATTGAGAGTATTGTTTTAATTTGCAGTGTGTTTCCTGTAATCTTTGTTTGCTTTCACTCTTGCATACTCTGTCCTAAGGGGCAACCGCTCACAAGCAGACATTTCTTTCCCAGAGCTCGCCGTCTCACAGCTGTACTTTGCGAAGATCTCTTCTTTGGCTATCAGGCCTCTTCAGATTATTTGCCAGGTGCACGTCAGGTTTTGTGATTAGAATCATCGCCACAGGTAGTTATGAAGTGAATCACAGTGGCACGGCATGTGTGCATCCTCGAGGCACTACACTGTGAAGGGTAGACTGTTAAAGAGGAGAGAATACAGGAGATCACACTAAGGCGTATACAGAGTGACTCTTTTTTCCATCTGTGTTTTTTTGACTCATTGACCTGCTGTTTGGTGTTTTGGGCTTTTTTTTTTTTTTACATTTGTTGCCTTAAAAAATATCCTCTTTATTTTCACATTTAGTTGTGTATCAGAATGATTTCATAACTACACAACAATGATAATAACATGGTGGAGAAATTGAATACACAGGGAATTATTTTTATTCCACTGTAGTATCTCTGGAAAAGCACATCGAGAACTTTCATGAGTCTGAGATTGAACACGTATTTCAAAATGAATGTGATGAGTTAGTAAGTGGAATACTAGGTTTCTAATGTACCGTCTACTTTTATAAATGTGACAAAGAAAGTGAAAATGATTGTATTGAATATATAATATGCACAAGGTGTTAAGTGGATTATAAGCAGCGATGCTGCAGCAGTGCTGTCACTTTCAGTGTCTTTCCTTTCTTCTCCAGCTGTAACACAGCAGGCTTTCAGACATGGCTTTGCTCACAGCTCATCACGTTTTACACCAGCCATGTTGAGTGACTAGACAAAGTAGAATGTGTGTTGGATGGAGCGTGTGGGTTTGTGACCCGGGGTGCATATGTTCCAGGACTTTGCTTGGTTGAGCGCCCAGGAGAGCAATCCTGCCAGTTTCACCGTTGTCAGTATAGAGCAACTTTTATATTCTTCAGATTTTCGTACTATATCAATATATATATATAT